CAAGGTCATGGCAAGCACGTGTTACTGTCATAGCTGCCGAAATGGGGAGCTGGTCCCTTCATGATAAATATTTTTAAATAACTTCAAGGGATTATGTGAGATGGGACGTGCTAATGGTGGGGAAACACACAAAATATCCCTGGGTAAGTCGACTTAGACCATAAGGTCTCAATCTGTCCACAACTACTTATGTGGTTGGGCCCTAAAGACAGGTGAATGAGACAATCACTGTCTTCAGGGGGCTCAAATAGAGATATGAACCCAGGTCAGCTTCTGGCAGGTCTGAGTGCTATGAAGTGTGAGGCAGGAAAGTAGTGGGTGCACAGAGCCAACAGAAAGCCATCTTCATGGATGGACCTCTTGGGATAGGAATGGGAGTTCCCAAGGAATCTTCTCCTTAGGGGCCTTCACTCAGGTGAGATCCTGAAAAATCCATGTGAGCAGAGTACAGTTTACTAAGGAGGAGAGAGGGAGCTGGAGAGATGGCTCAGCAGTTAAGAGTACTGAGGGCTCTACCAGAGGTCCTGAGTTTAGTTCCCAGCATCTGCATTCTGGCTCACAACCATTGGTAATGAGATCTGGCACCCTCTTCTGGCCTGCAGGCATACGTGCAGACAGAACATTGTATACATAATATTTTTTTGAAGAAAGGAGGAGACCTAAGCACCATGGTGTGTGTGTGTGTGTGTGTGTGTGTGTGTGTGTGTGTGTGTGTGTGTAATATATACACTAGTTTACTTCTCTTATCTTAAAGAATTCACTCTTGTGGGAACTGGAGAGACAGCCCAGTAATTAAGAACCTTTTCTTCTTCCACAGGTCCTGAGTTCAATTCACAGCACCCACATCAGGGGCTCACAACCACCAGTAACTCCAGTTGTAGGGGATTCAATGCCCTCTTCTGGCCTCTTCAGGAACTTGCATGCATGTGGCAAACATTCACACAATGTGTACACATAAAACCAAAAAATAAATCTTAAAAAAATTGTAGAGGGCTTGTGAGATTAGTCATTCAGGTATGGATTGAGAGATGAATGCCCAGCGGGGCAGTGGTGGTGCACTCCTTTAATCCCAGCACTCGGGAGGCAGAGGCAGGGGGGGGGCCGTGGGGGGGGGGGGGAGGGGAGACTTTCCTTGAACTCAGG